GAGAGAGAGAGAGAGAGAGAGAGAGAGAGAGAGAAAGGCGGATGAAGATGAGGTATATTCAGGAAAACGTCCTGAATAGAAAAGCAGCAAATGGAAAAGAAGACGGGAGGACAACACCATAGAAACTAGATTATACCACAGACCTAGATTATACCATAGACCTAGATTATACCACAGACTGTGCACCCTGTTGTGATTCCGGTTCATCATGGAACGTAACGTTTGACTCTATTTGGAACCAAACGAGGGGCAAGGAGCGAAAGGTTGTACATTCATTCGACTTTCATACGCGATTAGTGTTTTGCTCTTCGTAATGTGCAACCTCATGTTACGTATTAGCGCAGCCACGTTTTTATAGAGTACGATGAGAAGAGGCCATGACAATGCCCAGTCCAGGGTATAATTGATCGCTTTTCCGGACAAGCGGGCTAACCCAGATTTCAGGGGTTTCCAGAAATCTTGCCCTACACCAAGAGTGGGCATTGTTCTACCTATAGGAGAAGTTTGGTTTCATTGGTGTGTATATTTGTTTGATTATAGAGAAAACACTCCTTGTCTTTAAGAGAAACTGAAAAGGGGCAACACTTTACCTTCGATATTCTGAAAACAGCATTTTTCGAGATAGCCCCCTTGTGTTTAAATGCGAAAAATTAAAGGGGTTAGAAAAATTAAGGGACAAAGTCACATCTAGTAAAAAACAGAGTTCTTAAATTAAAACATACGCAAGGGGAGACAACAGAACATTACAATTGAATTGATGGGATGATTTTAAATCAGTTATGACCTTTGTATTTGTTAATCGTGCTTATTTCCCGGTGAAAAAAAACATATTTAGAAACCACCTTAACTCCAAGCAGTTTTGTCTAATTTGGCCTTTTCAGTCGTGTTTCAGGGGCCCTCCATACCCGCAAGCCTCCTGCAGCAGTCAATCTGCTCCAGATAGACATATTATATACCAATGAAAAGGAAATTATATAGTCTTTCAAACCTAGCCATTGCTTTTTTTTTCATTCATATTTATTCCTATAAATAAAAAATAGAAACAAAAACATCAATCAGACTTCCCTTACAATTACAAAGAAGGAAAGTGTTTGAGAATTTAGAGTTAACATTTATTACATGAAAAAGTACATTCAATTCAGCATCGTGTCAAAGATACACCATGATGTTGGAATGTAAACAAATGAAGGCCATTCTTGTACATCCTACAATTCTCACTTATTGCCTTTGAAGCTGGAAATTTCATTGAATGATCAAGCGTCCTGCATTAATCTATCTGCTCCAGGTAAATATATTATATTCCAATGGAAATTGAGCTGGGTGGTCGTTCAGACCTAGATAAACGATTTCATACAGGGTGATCCAAAAACAACAACTTTACAACTTTTTTTTCTGAATATCTTGCGCGAAAAATGTTCTAGAATGCTGAAATTTGGAACAGGCATAATTCATTCGAAAGAAATTTGTTTGATATAAAATCTACGAAGAAGAAAAATGTTTTGAAAACGGAAACGGCTAAAAGAAGAAAGCACCCAAAAACGCAAAATTCACCAATGTTTAAAAATCTTGTAAAGGAAGTCGTGAAAAGGTAAGTTGACCTTTTCCTGCATTTTCTCTTTGACATTAATTTCCCATCCCTGTGATATTTAAACAATATTTAATTTCTTTTACAGAGTTTAAAATACCTAATGATTTCATTCTGAAATTTTTAGAAGCACTGCTCCACATTCCCTCCTTTGGACTCGACACATTTTAACGCGTCGTTCGAAATGTTCAGTGGCGCCCTAACATAACGACCTGCTAAACCATGAGTTTTTAAAGCCAAATACACTCACTGTACATGTTCATTAAGGAGTGGTTTCTAGAGACAATAGAGTGGGGTGCCCAAGAGACAACATGTTTTAGACTTAACATATCCCGCAGCTTGAAAACTGACTTGAAAGCTAGATCAAAAATCGAGGAAATGATCCCTCTTTACACTACAATCGAGGAATCATGAACACATTGCCATGCTCAGGTCCATGGCATCTCAGCCTAACGAAGATGAACATGGTATAGTCGTAGGTTAAGATCTGAGAATGCAGGCTGTTGATGTGTAAGAAAGTTCTAGCCGCAGATCATCCACGGACAGACGTCTCATGGGACTCAGCTACTGAAATCTGCACTCTGGTGTTTTTTATGTGCTATATTGAGCAAAACCATTCAATGGACTTATCTAAAATACACATCGGACAAATTCCTTTTGGCTTCCAAACGTTATGTTCAAATCTGAAACGTAAAACTTCAGTATGGAGGAAGATATTTACAAAACAAGTTGTAAAGTTTTTTTTGGATCACCCTGTATTTGTCAAAATCTCTTGAGGAGTGACCTATGTTTTTTTCTAACAATAGACGTAGCAACAGAAATCGGACTTTCCAAACG